TAATGAGGAAACAACCACTTATAATGGGAGATATGCATCTTAAAACCAAGGTAAAATTAATACCGACAAAGTCATTGTTGCCAACATGTTTAACAATTATTTTACTGAATTAGTGAATGAGCTTGGTAAGCTTTTGAAAAATCAGTAATTGACAAACATCCCTTTAACTTTTACAAATGATAACTTTAAGCTATGTGCAATACTGTCCACGGATGTAATTAAAGTCATAAACTTCCTTAAAAACTCCAAAAGCAGAGGTGTGTTTCAGTTCGACACAATGTTTGTCAAGAAGCATTGCGATCACCTTGTGCCTCCCATCACTTACTTAATAAACATTTCCATCAATCAAAGTGCCTCTGGAAAAATGCAATTGTTACCCCAATTTTTAAATCTCCTTAGCTTTGACATGTTTTAACTGTTTTATCCTCTGTGCTGTTTATAAGAACCTGAATGGCTTAGCTCCACCCTCACTGCACCAGTTTATAAACTTCCGCTCTAGGAAACTATAAAATCAACAAGAATTTCATCTCCATCATTTTAAGTTTAAGAATAAACACAAAAATTATCAGAACTGTAAGCACTGAGGCCTTAATATAGTTTAATATATGCTTGGATGTGTTTTTATAGTGTTGTGTGTATCTTTTATCAATATATCTGAAATTTCTTTCTTGTAATATATGGGACTGTAGGTAGATGAACTACAATGCATCAAATGGTACCAATTGTGCACAATATTGCACAACTGAGATGACATTTGGAAGTTGTTTTTTGTTTGTTTGTTTGTTTGTTTGTTTTTGTTTGTTTGTTTGTTTTTTACAGTTTTATTACTTTCAGCATTAAACTGAGCTTGGTTCATGTTCCAAAACATTTCTGAAATTCAGATAATCAGACTATTGGGTTGAAACAAAACACCAAACCAGGCCAAACATTTCATTTCTTGTTCATGATTATGTTATTTCATTGATATTTTTTCATTTTCTCATTTTCTCATTGATATTACATTTTAAAACTCATCTATTTCTGTTGTTAGTTGAAAAATATTTAGATAATTACAAATTAAGAAAAAGTTCAAATGCACTGAAATGCTAGCCCGGAAAAATGTCAGATAATTATTGATAAAAGTTCACCGTTGGTACTGTGCTTTGACTTTATTTTAGCTTATAGTAGCCAGTTAGATTATGATTAATGCTTTGTAATTTTCTAAAAATTTGCCCTTTTTTTTCAAAGCTATGACCCGTTTACATGTGCCATCCTTATCCAAATTTGTACCCCTACCTGGCCACCCCTCCAAAAAAGATTTCTAGACTCGCCACTGTTAGCATGTGTGCAAAACAGGGCATTTGTCTCAGGTTGAGAAGGTTTGTTGAGGCAATCAAGTTGGCAGCACCAACTGTCACCATTCCTACCACCTTGTCTTTTATCCCCCACTCTGCCTTTAGTGCTTCCTTTGCTTCTGCTAAGATTTTGTGCTCCCAGCAGGACTGTGGACATCTTCATTTCTTCATTTATTTAGTGGTATGTGATGGCAAGATAGGCATCCTAAAATCTACTAACTAGGGCGGACAATGCTCAGATCCAATATGTTCACAAAAGCCTTCATCCTCAACTAGAACGAGTGTGTGTCCTTCACTATCATGTCCACCAGAGAGTATCATTGATTTGTTTTTCTGTCTAGAAACTGCCAACATAAAATAGTTCAATGTTAATACGTAACTAACAACCAATTGTTTATTCACACATAAGTGTGAATGGTTATTCCTAGACACAGAGCCTACTGGTGTTTGATTGACTTTGTTCATTTTTTCAAAAATTCCTGACAAAACTTAATTCACCAACTTCAACTTGAGCATTTTTTGAGAGCAGTCACATTTCCAGGTAGTATTGCATCATTGGCATGTAAACTACTTCTCAAGTGTCTCCACACTGACAAAGTGTTATTGCAATAGGACAGATGCTTAGAACACAGCTAACCTGGTTGATAGAAACTACTAGTTTTACTTTAATGGAAAACAGTTGCTTAACCTACTGATTTGTGTATTTCCTAGACAAAGTGAATATTTGCTCAATGGTCTGTACATTACTTGATAAGATACTCACCTTTGTAAGAGATATCAAATCAAAATGCTCCCAAACATCAGAAGCACGCCTCATGCTTGTTCTTGGAACACTTGCCATGACGAAATTTCAAATGCAAACTTTTCAAATATTTAATCCACTAAAAGACACTAACACCCAGCAGCTGTGCCATTGCATTTTTATGCTTTGCCATTGTGGCAAGATGGAGGAATGAGGGCCCAGGTGGGATTTGAACCCCAGGCTCCCAGGTGAGAGTCCTGCACTCTAACCAGTCAGCCAAAGTGACAACACCTTGGCCAAGATGCCAGGGCGCATGATCCATCGGGATACAGTGACTGGAGGCTCACACTGTCACACCATCAATTGCTTTGAATTGTTTAAGCTGTGCCTAAATAATTTCATGCAGCTCAGAAAGCAACATACGTCATCTGTCACATGACCTGAGAGGAATGAATCACACTCTGGATCCCCGCTCCATAATACATTGATTCAGTTTGGTTTGAGAAAGCAAGCTTCGGAGTCTTAGTATTGCCTGGCCCATCACTACCCACACCTGCTCCCATGAATCATGTCACTCGCCTGCTCCTCCAGGTATTTAAGCCTCATCTAGCCACAACCTCGCTCAAGTGTCAGTGTAGCAAATGTCCACCAACCTTTTCCTGCCTGATTTTTAATTCCCAACAATGTTTTCGTTGTACAGATTTGTTTGAATCACCTTGTTCTACATAGATACCTCGCCAGCCTCTGACCTGATGATTATACGCTTAGTTTTGTTTCTTTACTCCTGCTTTCAGCCTGCTGCTCCCTACTGGATTATTCAGCCATCTACCTGTATCTTCAAGACCCTAGCCTGCCTTCTGATTACACTTCTACTCATCTTTTCAGATTATTGCATACTGAACTCCCAAGGATCAAGAAACATTGTGTGGAAGAACCAGCTGCATAGAGAAGTTCCTGAGCAGTCTGCTCTGGTTTGCAGGCTTTGTCTACCAGGTTCAGACTTTCATTAAAAATCATCAATGTCATTTTGTGTGTGTGGTTGTCATTTCATGCCCTAAGAACAAATCATTAAAATGGGTCCAAAATGGGCCCAGAACATGTACTCCACATCATTACACCAGCAGCAGCCTGAACCATTGATTCAGCGTGGGATGGATCCATGTTTTCAGGTTGACAACAAATTCTGACCCGACCATCTGAATGTTGGAGCTGAAATCCAGACTCCTCAGAACAGAAAAAGTTTTTCCAATCTTTTGTCATCAAGTGCGGATGATCCTGTGTGAATTGTAGCCTCGGTTTCTGTTCTTAGCTGACAAAAATGACACCTGGTGTTGTCTTCTGCTGCTGCAGACCATCTGCCTCAAGGTTCAGGTATGCTGTTCTGCAGTTGGAACCACTTGTTATTTGTCAATAATCTCAACAAGTTATTTTCATCGACACAATTACTGCTCACAGAGTATTTTCTATTTTTCAGACCAGCTATAAATGCCGGAGAGGGTTGTGGGTGAAAACTCTTAAATTCTCTTTCATCTTCCGTCTGATGCTCAGTTTGAACTTCAGCAAGCCATCTGGGTGACTAAATGCATCAAGTTGCTGCCTTGTGACTGGTGATTATTTGTAGATTATGTGTGCTAACAAAGTGGCTGGTAAGGGACTTTGACTTTGACTTGTACTTTATTTCGAACTAACGTAAAAACAACTTTTTTTATTCAACACAACTCAACACAAAAGCAATCAAATAATGAAGTCCGAAAAGGAGTAGTTAGAAGTAAAACTTGTACATTCCTACCCCCTTCTTACTTATTCTTATTCAGCTTATCTCAAAAACAAAATTTAAAAATTAAGAAACATATCTATATAAAAATAACAATAATACAGTAGATTAAACATACTCAACAATCAACTTATTGTATTATTCTATTTAACCCAGCTCATCAACATAATTATCCAATAAATGTTTTTGTAGCTCTTCTGAAATTGATTTACCTTTACACATTTTTTCAAATCTTCACTCAAATTGTTCCATAATTCAACCCCACATATTATTGTAAACATGCTCCTCTTTGTTGTCCAAACTCTCTGTTTTTTGAAGTTTAATGCCCCTCTTAAATTGTACCCATTGTCTTTATCATTAAAGAGCAAGTCACCCCCAAATCAACTCATTTAATATCCATGCTCCTGGAATTAGCTCAAATTCTGTTCACAGACACCCAAACTGAGTTCACTCATGATCATAGACACAACTATATTTACAATGTAAAGTTCTCATTCATTTCCTACATTTTTACTAAAACAAGTCAAATTACACTGATTAGACTTTGGTCTATGACATCATGCACCAGTTTTTGATTTATATGCTATGATGTAAACTGGTACATTATGATGTCACAATGTTGTGAGTGTGTGTATTTGTTAGTGGCTCCACCCTCTCGGTCTGCTAGGCAACAGCATTTGTTGCATTTTTTCAAACATGAAGTGGGAGTGAAGTACGCTACTTGTAAGGGGTGACTTGCTCTTTAAACATTTTCTGTATATTACATGGAAGTAATTTATTTCTTGCCTTAAACGTGATTACTGCGGTTTTAAACTTTATCAGATTAATACATTTTAACACTTGTAATTTTAAAAACAGTGTTGTTGTGTGTTCCCTATATCCCACATTACATACTATCCTTATTGCTCGTTTTTGCAGTATGGATAGTGATTGTAGATTACTCAGGTATGTGTTTCCCCAAACTTCCACACAGTAATTCAAGTATGGCATTACCAGTGATGAAAACAGAATATACAATGATTCTTGATTCATTAAATGTTTTATTTTACACTAAATGCCAATGCTCTTTGCCAATTTTGTTTGTATATATTTAATATGTGGTTTCCAGCTAAGTACAACACAGAAGCTAAGACTAAATAAAATTCTGCATTTTTGTTTGATGATCACTTCCTGTTTCTCTCAGGGAGCTAGACGTGTGCTCAGGACTCTAAAAGCGAGCAACTGTCTTTGCCAATAAGGCAGAGCATCTTGAGCTGAACAGACTTCTACAAAAACTTGGAAAACAAGAAGTCAAAGTAAGTTTTGTTCTTGGTTCTGGTTTCATATTTTGTGTGAATTTACAGATGTGTGGAGAATCTGTGGTTTAGTGGTTGTATTCTCTGTCTTTTCAGCTCGCTTCGGTTCTGAACTGTTGTTTGGTTGCTTATTTAGAGAATTCTGGAAGGTGTTTTAGAACTATTGTGTTGCTTGGTCAGTTCTTTTAATCACTACAATTTAAAAGCTTAGAAATATTATCTCTAGTTATAATGAGAAAGCTTCAACAATTGTGAGGCAACACTTTTGTTTTCAATCAAACAAATTGTCTCTTTTGTTGTTGTTGTTTAACCAACATGGTTAAATGTTCTTAATTGGACCAAGTCAAGGCTACAGCACAGGCCAAAAGTTTGGACACACCTTCTCATTCAATGTGTTTTCTTTATTTTCATGGCCATTTACAAAGGAGCAAACAAGTGCTAAACACCTCTGGGAACTCCTTAAAGATGATTGGAAAACCATTTCAGGTGACTACCTCTTGAAGCTCATCAAGAGAATGCCAAGAGTGTGCAAAGCAGTAATCAGAGCAAAGGGTGGCTATTTTGAAGATAATTGAATATAAAACATGTTTTCAGTTATTTCATCTTTTTTGGTTAAGTACATAACTCCACATGTGTTCATTCATAGCCTTCAGTGAGAATCTCCCAATGTAAATGATCATGAAGATAAAGGCAACACATTGAATGAGAAGGTGTTATATGTACAGCATTTCCTGGTAAATCATTCTTGTAATTTCTTCATGACAGGACAGGTGGAAACACTGAAAATATGGAGTTCAGTTTCATAAAGAGGTTTGTCCTTTTCTGCATTCTGGGTGTTATGGTGTTCATCTTCTACCATGGATGGCCTAGAATAACCCAGTACCCCACCCTAAACCAGTACCCCACCCTAAATCCATTAAGGAGCGAAAAAAATCTGACCATCCTGTTCTGGTACAGGCCCTTCAAATATCCATTCAGTCTGAAGGGTGACGTTTGCTGGGATCTCTACCAAATACCTCATTGTAAGCTGGTGGACCAGCGCTCCTTCTACCCCACCGCTGATGTTGTAGTGTTCCATAACAGAGAACTGATTGAAGGAAGTCAGAAGCTGCCCACTGACCTCCCTCGTCCACAGGGCCAGAGGTGGGCCTGGATGTCCCTGGAGTCCCCTGATAACAACGGAGACCTGCGGCGGTTTGCTAATCTCTTCAACATGACCATATCCTACAGGAGAGATGCTGATATCACTGTACCGTATGGTGAGCTGCTACCTGTGGAGACTGAGGAACGCCTGGTGGAGGACAGGCGTGTGAATAAAAGCTCTTTGGTCTGCTGGGTGGTCAGCAACTACAGGAGCCACTACAAAAGAAGCCAAGTGTACAAAGAGCTGAGTGCTACAGTTCCCATTAAGGTTTATGGCCGCTGGAGTAATACACCTCTCTCCTCTGAAGGCCTCTTACCTACCATCTCACGCTGCTACTTTTATTTAGCTTTTGAGAATTCTGTGAGCAAAGACTACATCACAGAAAAGCTGTGGTACAACGCTTACCTAGCAGGAGCTGTGCCTGTTGTGCTGGGACCATCCATAAATCACTACAAAGCCGTGGCTCCGGAACATTCTTTTATTCACGTTGACGAGTTTGCTTCAATAAAAGATCTGGGAAAGTACCTGCAACAGCTTGCAGGTGACAAGAAGAGGTACAACGAATACTTTAACTGGAAAAAGCACTGGAAGGTGAAAATGAGCAAAGGCTGGAGGGAAACGGCGTGCAAAATCTGCACACGTTACGATACATTGCCTCAACACAAGGTTTATTATGATCTAGAGTCCTGGGACAAAACTACTCTTTAATATGAATCTACAGAAAACGTCCACGTCTATAGATGTCATAATGCTACAGTCATCATGAATATTCCCATTGTGAAGTGTTTTAAAATAATTTTCTACCGCTAGTCTGCCTACCATATACAATACTCAGATTGAAAAGGGACGAAATGGTCATATCCTGCAGCGTGAGACACAAATAACATTGGTTTATCTCACCCCAGGATGTGTGGTTGTTGGTTGCAGCTGATGTTCTTCTCTCCTGAAATGAAACCTGCTTCGTTGAAGCTTTAAACTTCCCCAGTCTAATTAAATTCTGCTGTTACTAATAGTTGTTTGTTTCTTCCTTCTCAACGTCAGAACTACTGTACTGTATCATTGTTCAGAATTTGATCTGTTGCATGATTGCTGCATAGTGCAGGTGCAAGTCATTTTAAATAGTACTTTAAACTGACATACATTTTAAAATGAAGGTGTTTTGTTTCCTAGAAACCGAGTGACTCTTCTGTATTATGCAACCCAGAAAAAATTAGGCCTTCAAATGAAAAATCTACATTTCAATTTTTTTTCCTTTACCCAGTCACTCATCATGGTGGTATTTCACAGAGAAAGGTATTTCAGAGGGATTAAAGCTCAATTCCGTTTCGAACATTCAAAAGGAACCTGAATCTGGTTCATTATTCTTCTGGAAAGCAAATAATCAAGAACAACTGGACAAAAGACACAACGTGGTTCTCAGTTTGTAGCATTAAAATGTTCAAGTGTGGCCCTGACAACACTGATGTGCGGTTTTGGTTTCTGCAACCAGCGCCGGCACTCTGCACACGCACATCACGCATAGCGCGTAGGGCAACACGCCGGGGGAGGGGCCATGGGCAGCTCCAGGAAATTTTACCAGCAGTTGCTGTACAGTTGCTCGGTCAGTGTTTGGGGTTGTTGTCCCCTGTCGGCGCTTATTGAAGGTGGGGGGGGGGGGGGGGGGGGGGGGGGGGGCTACAACATGAAATTCCAGGGCACCAAACGCAAGCTTATGAAAAAAAAATATATAATAAAGACAGATTTCAATTAGAAGATGTGCAAAGCAAGTTAACAGCATGTTTATGGAGAGAAAATTCAATTCGATTCAATTCAAGTTTATTTATATAGCGCCAAATCACGACAAGAGTCGTCTCAAGGCACTTCACATAATAAACATTCCAATTCACAGTTCATTAAGCCAATCAGAAATAATGTTTCCTATATAAGGAACCCAGCAAATTGCATCAAGTCACTGACTAGTGTCAGTGACTATACAGCAATCCTCATACTAAGCAAGCATGCAGCGACAGTGGAGAGGAAAACTCCCTTTTAACAGGAAGAAACCTCCAGAGAATCCTGGCTCAGTATAAGCAGCCATCCTCCACGACTCAATGGGGATCGAGAAGACAGAGCAGGCACACACACACACACACACACACACACACGTAATGTGTCTATAGTTATATTGTGATGTCTTAGTAAATATTGTATTTGGTGAAAGATAAACTTTATTGTATTTATCCTAGTGGATCTATAATTAAGCGGATAAACTAGTATTAGCACATCAAAAGTCAATGAAAACAAAAAGTTATTATCAGGAGAGAGAGAATGTATTAGTGGTTAGCAGCAGTGTGCTAGTCGATGGCCCCCTCCATGAGGCCACCACAGCTCAGCAGAACATCATTGTAGCTTCTTCTGGGGAGAAAAACACTTACAGAGAAAACAATACAAAAAGTAAAGGAGATGGACCGTGTCCACTTTTCACTCTGTCCGGACTGGGGGTTCTTGTGAAAATATCCGGCTTTTCATCCAGGAGCAGGGATCGAATTATGGGGGAGCTGTACATCCTACACATCCAGGGGAGCCGGAAAAAGGTTTTCTACCTATATTACATAATTTGTGGACTCTTTTGAGCAGAGAGCACCGACAGCAGCACAGCGCTGATCGTTGTTGCGCAGCGATCCAGGCTGCTGCTTCCAGCACTCCAGGCAGCTGCTTCCAGCGCACGGTCCATTCTCAAAGTGGCACAACCAAAAAACTATAATTAACACACGATCGTTCATGTCCGCACATGTTCTCTACTTTCTGTCTTATCTGTGCCTGAAGCGGTCTGCTACTGCGGAGCTCATCACCTGTGCTGTGGTGATTTCACCTCACTGACGCAGCATTGAAACGCGCTCTGCGCTTTGCGTTCAGGAGGTCCCTTTGATCTGCTCAAAAGTAACTGATGAGGTGAAAAAGTAAGAATCCAGGCAGCAGATTTTCTGGAGAGTTTAGAGGAGATGCAGGAAGATGAGAGACACAGGACAGGAAAATAGTTCAATAAAAACAAGAAACCAAAACAAAGTGTTGAAAAGTAAAATGTAGGTAGATTTATCTCCACTACGTGTTTCTACCTGTATAAAACAATAAGTTACACACATGTCATATTTATACATCTGATACAGTTCAGATCACCTTCAACACTCAGTCACACACCCAGGGCCGTTTCAAGACATTTTGGGGGCCAAGACATATTCAGAATTTTCTAGTTGTGTATAAAATGTGTACATTGTGCCTCTCTAGTTCTTAATAAAGGTTAAATAGTTTTGAATTTAGTCATGTCACATACCAGTGATTGTGTTGTTTTTTCTGTGTGTGTGTGTGTGGGGGGGGGGGGGCACCACGAAGACTTTGTGCTTAGGGCACCAAAATAGCTAGCAACGGCCCTGTCCGCAACATCAAGTGCAACATTGAATATGTGAGCATCTAAACACTAATGATCTGTTGAAGGAACTTCAGTCAGGTTTTGGACAGTATCACAGCACTGAAACTGCATAAGTAAAAGTTACAATAATAGTACATTTTATTTGAAGCACCTTTCTAAAAACTCAAGTAAAAGGAAATAAAAACATTCACACAAGCTTAACATCAATAAATTAGTAGTCAAATTAAAACCATGAAACACATTTAAAAAAAAAGACTATCTTGAACAGGTGAATTTTGAGTTTAGTCGTGAAATGGTGATGGGTAGTGGCGTCCTGAGTTCAGCTGGTAATGAATTCCACAGGGAGGGGGCAGATCTGCTGAATGCACGACTTTGCATGGTGACAAGTGTCGCGTCAAGGCTGGACTACACATATTAAATGATCAATAAGATGTGATGTTCCATATAAATATGAAATATCAATCTGATTGGTCTTTGATCAATCAGATTGATATTCAATCAATCAGAATACTTTAGTTTCTTTGACTTATTCAGGGAACAAACACACTTCATATTAATCCAGACAGTGTCAAGAATATGGTTATACAAATTACTTTAATTCTATTTTCTAAACTAAATGGTTGTACATGACAAAGTATGAATGAAATGAAGGTTGTGCAGATAACAGATGATGAATGAAATGATGGAATGGAAGCTAGATGTTTTATCAAAACCTGGTAAGTATCTGAGAGAAATTGTGAAGTCTGGGTTGTAAAATTGATTTGGCTGTATGGTTTGATAAGCTAGAGATTTGTTTGTAAAACCATGACGCAATCGTGCAGTGTCTACGCACCCATTGTGTGTTGCCCATTGGCGGTCCGAGCGAAAGTGGCCCGAGTGGTGAGGTTCACCGGACGTCGAGACCACAGGAACCCAAAGAGGTGCAGTTCCCTTTGAATTCAGATTTCTAGTCCAGCCATTAGGTGCAACCAGGGTCTGCAGGTAAGAATGTCTGTCTGAGGTGTTGGGTGGCTCTTACAAGAGCCGTTGTGTCTGAAATCACTCGCAAGCGTTGCAGAGAGGCTTTGGCCTTGGGTTCATCAGACTGGATAGTCTCTAAATGCATGGTCATCCAATTGGTCTCATCGAGTGAATGGCAAAGACTGACTAGATCAGGAAGTGATTCCTGTTTTTATCAGCTTTGTTTATAAATTTGGCAAATCAGAATTTGACATGTTTAAAAGGCCTTACCAAAATACCTCAGTAGTCACATCTTCCCTCAGATCCTCAGAGAGGTTAACTCTCAGTGTGAAGTGGAAATGTTTTTTATCCATTAATGTGAAGTGAATGCTAAAACCTTAATATTAATCTTATGATGTATGAGTATAGATTAACTTGTTAAATCAACAAATACTGATCTGGTGTGGTTTAAGATCTGAAATTAATCATTGCAGGAAAAATATTAATTTTAACATCATCAATTATTGCACAGATTATTCAAACCTTTTGAGATTCAACAAGAGATGATTATGACACTTATGCAACTATCACGTTTTAAAAAGTCATTTATGATTCAAGTAAGATGAACTTTATTCAGAGTGAGAGTGCAGAAGGTCTGTCTTCTGCATGACTTTGGTTCCAGCCAAGATAAGGAGAGCACTTATTATAGCTAACTTATTTGGTTTCAAGTCGTAGATCCTTGCGTTTCTTGGTTGGAGTCCAGACAGATGTTATGCATCCCTGGATGTGTGACGCAGTTTGAGTCTGCAAATTAAAAGTTAATTTCTGGTCATTTTTTATGTGAATACTTGACCTTTGGGTATGCTACACAAGACAAGCAGGAGGAATGTGCAGGTTGATGGAAACTGACGATCCTAGCAAGCGGGAAGTTGTAGAAACTTGTATGACCTGTGAGAGATATGAGGGGGCAGGGTTGTGAGTGGCCTTATATGTCCGACAGGGACTGAGGCGACACTACGGACTGATTGGCCGACTGAAAAGTATGCCCCACATCCGATTGGTGAGTAGAATAGGCCAGCAGGGAGTACCCGCATGCGCGATTCATTTTCATGCCAAATGCTGTTAAGTAAACATCTCTGTCTGTGGCATGAAGCTGCCGCTCAGTAGGAATGGAAAGCGAGAGAGAGAACTGTGCATGTGTGTCCCTGTCCTCCGCGCAAAGGAGCTCTCGCCCCAGCAAGCCGGGAGACAGCTGCTCAGTGGAAGGAGAAAGCAGACACACAGCAAATTAATAATGTGGTTCAGAGTCGCTAAAATCAACACAACTCACCCGTCTTTATCAAATTGAGACTTAAATGCCGCCCACGGGCTCAGGGATTTCTGCATTCCTGAAAAGTCCTACGAAACTACAGGTCCTTCTCAAAAAATTAACATATTGTGATAAAGTTCATTATTTTCTGTAATACTGATAAACATTAGACTTTCACATGTTTTAGATTCATTACACACAACTGAAGTAGTTCAAGCCTTGTATTGTTTCTAATATTGATGATTTTGGCATACAGCTCATGAAAACCCAAAATTCCTATCTCAAAAAATTAGCATATCATGAAAAGGTTCTCTAAATGAGTTATTAACCTAATCATCTGAATCAACTAATTAACTCT